AAGATGAAGTATTGTATTCTTAGAAAATTACCATTAAGTAACTTCAAATAATTAATAAGAAAATGCTTGAGCTAATGAGCTATTTAGAATAATTAGGGATATAATAAAACAAAAGCTAATCTGTAATTCAGTATTTATAAGAAAAGAAGATAGAATTAATAATTTAAATTATGCATAACAATGTTTGGATATCATGATCCACTATAGATTTGCATGGATCTGGCGAATAATAATGATTCGCTGGGAAGTTTACATTAGCTAGAATATGGTACATTTTAGATACAAATAATCAAATCATTAACTTAAAAAGCCATAAGTTTGATAAGCTTCAAATTCTATAAATTGGCTAAGTCCAACGAATATAGTAAAATATACAACAGTATATCAACCTTTTCTTCATATTTAATTAATAGTGTTCAAAACTTATTGAAAACCAACTTCTGTTATATCAAATACACTGCGAATTTTAACCATTTCTAAGCATTATAAAACTGAAATTTTCTCATACCTAAATTTTACATCATTTTAAAATAGCAAATTTTTTAAAATTCATTGTCTTTTATTTCCTCTTTTTTCCACATAAAACTACTATCTAAAAAGGAGCAAAACAAACATAATTATGAACAATATGAGAAATAGAAAAGAAAAAAGAAAGATAAACAGTGTTCTTTCTTTTTTTCTTATAATTAATTTTCCTTTTAAATTTATTTCTGTACTTTTTTTTCTGTTTAATTCAATGAAGGAGTAGAATGGAATACTTATATTAGTAAGTAATTCCAAAAAGTGACAAATTATCAGTAAAGGTATTTAGTGTTTCAATCTAATTGTTCAATTTAATTTAATGTATCAGTTGGTAATTTTGCATCGAATCAGTTTTTTTTTTTTTTTGCTTTTTTATTATTCAGAAATAACTTAAGCATATTTGCATTATGAGTAAAACGTTCATTTTTATCAAGTTAGGCTTCATTTCTGAGGATATTATCCATATGCTTATGATTAGTTAGGTTTGCTTATTATGTTATTATTGATCATATTCAGTTTGTGATCAATGAAATCTTTTAAAAGTTATTAATTTACTAATTAAGACTTCTATACGACAGTTTATCACTGATCATATCCATTTCATCCCCGCGTTATGGACATTTGATCCAATCTGACTGCATCCTAATAAACAAAACGACAATGTAAAACAAATCATTGAATCTATTATGATAATAAAAACAGAATTATTGGAAACTGAAACAATTTCTGCAAATTTTGTTATAAAGAAAAAAAAAAAAAACTGTAAATGGCTACAATGTCATGCTAATTGTGGAAAAAAAGTTAATAGCATGTGGAAGGATTATTGAAATGATAACACAGAATGATAAGAAATATTGTAAATGATGGCAGAATTAAAGATTAGAAAGAAGTAATAAGGGAGTTCGGCAAAATTTGAATCTTCTTGTCGCAAAATAAACTTCCTGCTAATTCGTGATACTCCCATTTTAAAAATAGCAAAAGTTGAAATTAAACTAACACAGAGATTAAATTTAACGAGTGGCATACGATACATTCGGATGAAATTTTTTGTTTCATTGCTGATTTTTAGATTTAAATTGCTTAATTTTTTTTGAAAATTTCATATATGAATAGTATTAGAGTATATTATGAAAAAAAGCACTAATCATATTCTTTCTTATTTTCTTCTTTACAATGGCAATTTTTGATATTTTTAAATTATATTATCATTGCTCTTATCAATTGTTATTATTTTAACAAATACTATTAATCCCTTGCTGTTATCAATTAGTACTTCACTACTGCTAACTATAACTTAGTTAATTTAGCTTATTAAAAGCTAAAAAAGCGTGATCTTTGATAAGACTTCTCATTACTAATTCAGTTCATTTATCACCAACGATCTCATCTTCATTAATTATCACCGATGATCTTACCTTCATATGCAAATTAGTACAATAATATGCTTTTTAATTTGGACAAAAATTGACTTATCAGAAATGGATTTTGGGTAAAAAAACTTTTCAAAACAACTGAAAATTTTTAAATCAAAAAATGAGCAAAAAATGGTAATTATACCAATAAACAAACTTCCGCGCAGCAATTACTCCTTGGCTCCTTAATTTCCAATTTTTACAAAAAATAATTTATAAAAAAAAACAGTGAAAATGGGACATTAAAGGGAAGAAATTTGTTAGAAAAATCAGAAATGATAAATGTATGAAAAGAAAAGGAAAGAAAAATTGTTGGCATTTTTAATCATTCTTTTGTTGAATACTTTTTGTTTTAAATTATCAACGAAATGATTGAATACCCGTATTAGTTTGAAATCTCCAGTTAAAATTTCGAAAAGCTAAGAAAGATGAAGCCAAAAATGACAGAATATTTTATAACATTTGAAATTGGAACATTTGAAACATTTGAAATTTGCGTAACTTGCACTTAATTAAGTTTGAAATTGCAAATTTTTAGATTAAAACTTAAAACTTATTTTCTCTTTTATATAATATGCTATGCTTTAAGTTTATATTAGCGAATAACTTTCTGACTTTAAAAGTAACACCAAAATAAGTGCTAAATCTGAAAATTAGAAAACAAAAAAATTTTATTCCTTTGTCTTCTATATAGAGATGTAATATAAGAAATAAACAAGTAAACTTATCTAACATCCTACTTATATTATAAAAGTAAAGTAAATCTCAATCAGATAGAATAAAATACTTCCACGTCTCAGCATGTATACAAAGTTTCAAACGAATATGTATAGAAATATGTGCTGATACTTCTTCCCCGCCCACGAAATATATTAGTAAGTACGGAAAAAACCTCCGTCATTTATTAGGAAAGGAAAAATTATTTTCATTCAGCATTCTATATTTAAGATAAAATTTTTTTTTAATAATAAAATATGTTGACTAGCTAAGAAAGTATAGAAATAAACAAAACAACTAGTCAAAAATTTTTATGATGCATTTGCTGTCTTTTCACAGTAATTTATACGAACTAAAGCGAATAAATACAAATAATTTAAAATAACTAAAATTGTAACCGAAGCATTCAAAACAAATGTACTTTATGACACTGTGACCTCCTTCAGATTTGATTATGAATCCATTTCAAATGATATGTGCCAGGTCAAACTTATAACTCTGTGATCTCTCTCATGTTATTGATTGTGAACTAATCTAAAATTATGTTTGCTGCTCTCTTATTTTTCCAGAAAAAGAGGGAAACTTAAGTTCGAAAATGAACTAAAGTAAATGGGAATTTAAAAAAGTGTTTTTCGCAAAAACTATCATTCATAAGCAACAAATTTAAAACTAAAACAAATGTAATACCAGATATGTCGGAAATGAAACAATGTGTTTGCATTCCTCAAAAAAAAAAAAAAAAATATATATATAACACTCGTTTCATCAGCAAACGTTAAGTTTCATGAAATTTGAGATTATTTATCCGCTTCAGGAAAAAAGGACAAAAGAATAATATTTGTTGATAATGATAGATTTGCTGAGCATTGAACGGAACGGAGCAATTTAAGTTGCAAGATTTGATGAGTGTTTGATCGCTTTTATTTCAATGACATCAAAAAATGAGTTGGTAATTGGACAGTCAGTTACAAATACGGATATATATTACAAATAAATTGAAGTAGTAATCACGACTCATCATTAAAAACATCAATTGCAGGTTTTGCACGACGACCACGTCCTTTCATTATTTTATTTCTAGCTTCTTCGAATCGTTCTTTTTCCTCTATTTTTTCTTGTTGCAACGAAAGGATCTCTTTAGCAGAAAGTGGAATAAGGCCTAAAGGACAGTTGGATAAAAGAGATTTATAATTTATCGTGCTGAACACATCAATGCCAGTGATTATTAACAATTTGTTGAATAAAACTTCAATGGAGAAAATATGAAAAGAAGTACCTCATCATCTGAAGTGGAGAAATTCTAGGAACTAAAAACATATAAATAAATGTAACATCCTCAATTAATTAACCACTTAAATCACTTGCTCACAATGAATTGTTAATACGACAAATAAATAGATCGTATTAAAAAATTTTAACAAGCCTGATAACTGCTCCTTCGTTTCGTCAATTTCACCTGCTAAAACGACATTTTCTCCACGAATCAGAAATACTCCACGCTCTATATCACCGTAATAATTGTCAACATGGATCCTTTCTAAGGTTTCATGCAATACCAAATTCGCAAACTGATCAATTGTTCTGAAATAAATTAGTGATATACATCCTTATAGTTATTTCAAATTTAATTATGTGAATTGATAAGTTATCAGCACAGAATGGAACAGGAAAAAAATCCGTGTATACACTAACTGAATTCTTATTGCTCTTTAAAGCTGTCAATTACAAACTTACGAAATCTAGTTAAAATTTTACCAGAACTAATCTGGAAAGTGCAACACAAATGCTGTGTCTTGAAATGTGATTGGGACATAATACCTTAAGTAGCCAATTAATGTGCGCCCGTCACGCAAGACAACTAGAAGTTTTTTGTCGAGTTGTTCCAATAGACTTAAGGCACCGGGTAAATATGGATCCGGTAAATCCATTCAAGAAGTGTTTCAAATTGCTGAAAACAAGCTTGGATTTTAAGAATGGAGCATACTCATTAATTTCTCCGTTTTTATGAAGAAATCTAAAGAATCAATACTGAAATAATTCCAATAAGTAAAATCACCAAAAACCTCACCAAAAACTATTCCAAATACCAAGTGAAGTTAAACCTGATAATCTGAAAATGAAATCTCACTCCATAACTTCAGCTGTCAGAAACCCGAAAAATAGAAAACCGAAAGATGGTTAAATATAGAAATAAAAATATAATAAGCTATTCTACACTGACATTTCAGGACTGAACAAAAAATGCAAGTCGAAATGATAATAATGCTTTATCTATACAATTTTTAAAAATACTACTCCATTTTATTTCAAATTAAGGAGAAAGCTTTAGAATCATAATAATTTCAAGGATTATACAACAGGCCAATTCCACTGGCCTTCAGGAGCCATCTCCACCAGAGGTTCCCAGGCTTGACTTTTCAAAATTTCCTTTGCTGCTAATATTTCATATTTTGCCTGCAAACAAAAATCATTTCTTGCAAATAATTTTAAATTAGTACAAAAGGGATTTTCTATAGTTCATTAAATACATCTTAATTGCATAGGCATTTGGCTGAGCAAGTAATTTTCTTTTATTGTTAGTGTTTTTCAGCCTTTTAAATGTATTTAGTTGGCATTTTGAGCTTTCATAAATGAACAATTCTATTTAGAATCAAAATAGAGTCTATTTCCACCTCATAAAAAATACCTGTAAGATAACTTCTTCAATCTGTCCCATACCAATTTTTTCTTCCAGCTTGACAATATCTGGTTCCTGGAATAGAATCATATGACAAATCACAGGAACTGCTGGAAGTTGTTTGCAAGTATTTTGGTGATTTATCATATGATCGAATCATTTAAACGTTTACGTACTAACCTCTTGCACCAGTGCTATCCTCTTCTTCACAAGCTGTTCAGTATATTTCCGGTATGAGGAATGTGAAGGCATTTGTTCTAGTACTTTCATTAATCGTCCATATTCTTTTAGCAAGTTTTGATGTGCATACTCATCAACAAACAAGCCAGTTAATCCCGTTGTCTGTAACAACAAATCGTGAAAAGCAATAACAAGAGGATTATTTTCAAAGTAAAATAAAGCAAAAAGCAGAAACAAAGAAAAAAAAAGAGAAAAAAAAACTCTTCCAAGACCAAGCAACAAACAACTATAAGAAATCAGAACATCAAATTTGGTAACTCGCAAAAGATACCGCCTGATATTTATCACAATATTGCACTATCGCTGATAATGAATATATCGTACTACTCGTTAAAAACAATGTACTGGCACTAGTTTGCTAATAATTTTCCTGTTTCCGTAATTTGAATTCAAAACTTATTTCATTAAGTCATATCTTATGTAAAGTGCGAAATAAAAACAATATTAAAGCTTTTCTGCATATTACAAAAGAATGGAAGCTATTATTAGTATGAATTGTACTTCTTTCATATTTCTATCAACCAATGTTTAAACAACATTTTTAGCTTAAGAAAACCAGCTAATATTTGAAATCCGAAATAGAAAACAGGGACTAAATGCAGGATGAATTGAAAGAACAACAGTGATTACAGAGTGCAGCACAGTTTCTTGATCATCCTTGTCCTTTCAGTTCATTTCCATTCTAAAGCATACCTGTTTATGAAAACTTGGTGATGGAGGCTTTTTGGGCTTAAATGTTTTTATATACGGATTATCATACATTGTTCGTATTGCATTATGCAGAATACGCTGAGATATACGGTGCAAACTGTTTGAACCGGGTAACATTTGCAATCTGAAACAAACTGGAGAAAAAAGTTTTGTGATTTATGACCTGAAACGGAAAAAAGATCACATTAATATTTGTGACCCCTGTGATTTGGGTTAAAATCTCGAATTAGAAAACAAAAGATATTGTTCAAATTCGAGGACCGATAATATTTAAGACTAAGGTCAGCTTTACTTGCAGGAAAGTGTAAAATTGAAGTAACCAACTCCAACTGTTTCTTTATTCTCTGTAATTCTGATCTTTTCTAACCTTAAAATTAGAACAGCTTTCCAAATTAAATCGAAATTACTGATTCTACGCTTTATGAAACCAGCCAAAAAGATAAAAAAAAGATTTTATTGCAAAAAAAGGATCAAATATCGGTCAAAACTTTTCCATAAGAAATACCATTCAAAACTGCAGACAGATATCAACAGTCAAAGGAAAAAAAAAACGAGATACATATCGCATCGAATCGAAAGTGGATAAAAAAGGCATATAAGATGTCATTTATTCTATCATAAATACGAAATAAACGATGAAAGTTTTTTCTGAAAAATATGAGAAAATGATAAAATTAAATAAAATACAATTTCCTTTCATTTACAATTTTTTTTTCATTCCAGTACAAAGAAAAAAAAGAGAGAAAAAGTTTGGAAATGACATAAACTGCCAAAGTTTAAGTTAAAGAAAAAAGGCAGTAATAATGGTATTAAGAATAATATACGAAGGGATTATTGAAATGATAACACAGAATGATAAGAAATATTGTAAATGATGGCAGAATTAAAGATTAGAAAGAAGTAATAAGGGAATTCGGCAAAATTTGAATCTTCTTGTCGCAAAATAAACTTCCTGCTAATTCGTGATACTCCCATTTTAAAAATAGCAAAAGTTGAAATTAAACTAACACAGAGAATAAATTTAACGAGTGGCATACGATACATTCGGATGAAATTTTTTGTTTCATTGCTGATTTTTAGATTTAAATTGCTTAATTTTTTTTGAAAATTTCATATATGAATAGTATTAGAGTATATTATGAAAAAAAGCACTAATCATATTCTTTCTTATTTTCTTCTTTACAATGGCAATTTTTGATATTTTTAAATTATATTATCATTGCTCTTATCAATTGTTATTATTTTCACTGACATTACTATTTCTTTCGTTTTTTTCTATAATTAGTATTAATAATTTTGCCACAATTATTATCATTGGTGTTGTTTTTATCATTATCATTGCTAATTATTTTCACCAGCATTATTTGACAAGAGTATGTTTAATTATTTATTATTTTTTACTAATAATTTAGAATTTTATAATGATAATGATAAAATTGTGATTGCTAATCACCTAAACATTGTTTGTAATGAAATAACATTGGGATACACGTTTAGATTTATTTAATAACTATACAATTAGCACTTAATTATATTCCGTTATTTAACAGTTATTTATGATAAGTATTTGTCACTATTAAACATACTTGATAGAAACTTTACTTTACTTTACTTTACTTTAGTTATATAATTGTATGGATTTTTGACAAATCGATTGCAACTCTATTCATTGAATTGATTTTTTTTCTAATTTTATTATTCCAGTACCTTGAAATGCATGTTAGTAACAATTAAAATTAGCATTTTTATAAATTACTTTACAATTTTAATTGCGTGAATTATTTATTATTTTCATTTTACTGTTTTCTATTCAATATTGTCAATTAACTAGTTCCATAATTTATCACAATATTGGAATGTCAATTTGTGCAAATTACTGATGGCAATTTCATTTTTACAGTTTAAAATTAAATTTTAATCAAAAAATTCTGTAATATTTAAGAGATTAAAATTTGACTTATTTCAAATGTCAAATATCAACTAATACTCATTTCCTTTCTAGTAGTACTCTAATTTCATCCTTTAATGTAATTCAACGGTTATTTTTCTTTAATTAAATTTATCATATTATCTTGTTAAAAATCATAGATCATACATACCTTTTTATCATCTTATCATTACTCATATCTGTTTGTCGTTTAATTTTTCTCTTAATCTGTAATATAAAAAATGGAACATTATTCAGTATTTCACATTTTCTTTATCCAATAAGCTATTGATAAGAATATCATGTAGAAGAAAGAAATATCAATGATATCAAAGATTTATGATTTTCATTTTGTATTCAAATTCCAGAAGAAATAATCGGAAATTTTTGCTCATTTATAATACAATTAAAACAAACCTTTGCTGTAGATATTAAATTTAGCGGATAAGAATTAATAACTTCAATACGATTTAATGGTGTTGTTGTTCCATATGAATTAACAATCTTCCAGTCTTGCGATAAATTAGCCACCTATAAATATATTATGATTATGAATATTATGATCTCTAAGAAATTGCAAATTCTATTTTATTACTCCAACTTTTTTTTTTTAGAAGATTTTTTTCTAATGCTTAAAAAGTTTTCAGACGATTACATAAATTGTTAAAGTAATTACCGATGGATAATTACCAGTTTGATTGATACGGTCAAATAAAGCAACTATTGCTATTTTTGATGAATTCTAAAATATAAAATTTACAAAAAATGTTTAATTTAATCAAATTTATTTTTTTTTTTACTGATTTATTTTTTTTTTATCAATGTAATTTTTTATTACATTGATTTTTTTTTTTTTTTGATTTATTTATTTTTTACTGATTTATTTTTTATCAATGTAAAATGCCGAATCTAAAAATGGAAAAAGGGAAAAAAAAACTTCTAAAAAAAAGAATTTTGAATTTTGAAAAAATTCACTTTAGAAAGCAAACGAAGAAAGTTTTATTTAAAATAAAAAACGAAATTTGGTAAATGTTGAAGATTTTATTGCAACTCTAAAATTAATAAAATAATTTATAGTTCCTGTTCAAATGAACCACATAATGGTTGTCCTGGCATGTCACATGGAGATTCTCGATAATATATTTTGGAATTCTCTTCAAAGCATTGATGAACGATGAAATCATCAATATATGTTTCACTAATAATCATTGGTCGACCTTTTCTTGTACGACAACCTCAAAAAAATAAATAAATTTTCTTAACAAAGTTAACTTTGTTAAACAGAAAAATAATTCAAGTAATATTGTTATTTGAAATTTCTCTTGAAATTTAATTTTTAGCGCTTTTAATTAGCCATTCAAAGTCATAATGATAATAATGATGCTATATGCAGAAAACTAAAGAAAGCAAGGTTATTACCTAATCTTTTTAATCTCTTTTTTTCTCCATCATATTACATTTTCTTTTTCTTTGGCCACAAATAAATTTAATGTATTTAAAACGCATTTTTTAAATGATTTTTTTAGGAATATTCTGAAAAAATTTTTTCTTGATGAAAATTTATTTAATTATTTCTATGATTATAAACAAAGTAGAAATATTACCAAGTATAGTGTAAGCACCAAACTTCATACATTTATACAAAAGATGTCCTGTATACCAAGTTTCACCCTAAAATTGAAAAGAACTAGAAGTAAATATTAATAGAATTTTGTAAAAAAAAATTAAATTTTGTAAAGAGAAATTATCAGTTTATGCAATTTTTAATCTCATTCCTACTTCTTTATATGTTTTCCCACTTTGTTGACAATGAACTGTTGATGGAATCATTTCATTTGCTCGAAGAATAATCGTTGGTGTACCGCGGGAAGGAGCTAACCAAGCAGTTATATTTGTTGATAGATTCGCTAAACTAGCAGATTCTATGCTAAGTAATATTATTGCCGGAATATGTATTCGTAGCATGCTGCAGTTTAAATATGAAATTTTACAGAAGTAAAAGTTACAGCTAAAATTTAATTAATTTAAGCAATTTAGAACGATGCTTGAAAAATTCGCATAAATTGCGACAATATGTTTTTGCATTAAAATTATTTCAATTCATTAGAAATTATCGGTTGCAAAGTTCTTGCAAAGGATCTAACATAAAATTAAAAAAAAAAAAAAAAACTATAAAACCTAACGATTATTAGTGGTCTTTTTGACTTTCAGATATAAATTCTACAGTATTATCAACCTAAAAATAATTTCATAGAACTTGTCTCGTCTAAATAAAAATTTCAGCAATAATTTAATCAAGTTTATAGCATGAAATTTTTCGAAATTTCAGCGACACTAAAAAAACAAAATATCTAAATTAGTCAAAAGTCGGCTCTTTTTAATTTTTAGAACTTGTTTACGCAAGAACTTGAAGAAATTTTAACCAATTTATTATAACATAATACCTAAAATTGAAATTAGAAATGAAAAGATGAAAAGTGAACTAAAGACAAAAAAATTTGTTTTGTAAATATGTTCTTTGGGGCAACTTTTTTTTTCTTTTTTCACAGAGTATCCTGTTTTGATTTACTTTCATTTAAATATGAATTATAAAATTAGGAAATTAGTGAGAACATCATTCTGAAATGCTTTTAACAAATTATTATGATTTCTCTTCTTTTTCATCAAAAAAAAGTAAAAAAAGAGGAAAAAAAACAGTTTTACAGAAATATTTAAATGAATAAAAAATACTATTTCATTAAACGATATGATTTGTTTAAATTAAATTTAAGTAAACTAAGTGAATCTGAATTTAAATTCTAACATAATTATAGCAAGCCAATGCAAAATTTCAATTGCAATATTAATGATAGAATATTACTAATATTCTAATTGAACTTTTGCATTGGAATATTATTAATCTGTAAAATAAAAATTTAACTTTTTAAATTTATATTTGCATAAAATTTATATGTAAGATATAATAAAAACTCATGATTAATTTTAATATAAAAAACCAAAAAATTGTTCCTAGATCGATTAGAGAAAAACATATTGTCAGAAATTTCTTAATAAATTGGTAGTATTAAAAAATGAGAAAAATTAAAATTAAATGAGTTAGAAGACAAAAAATAGTTTTAAGTTAAAAGTTTGTCTGAAATTTGATGTTGCAAATTCCAATATCATTTACTTTCGAGTATGATAGCACTAGTTTCTTCATTTCTCTTTTTTGTTTTTTAAATTCTTTTTTTATTTTTTACTCGAATGTTTCAGTGTGAATTGCTGCTATTCTTCACTTCATTTTTTTTTAATTTTTTTTTATTTCATATTTTTAAACTTCAAAAACTGGTTCAGTTATTTTGATTAATGCTTCCGTAGTTTTGTTCCAAACAATGAAAGCAACAATAATACTGCAGCTCAGAATCAAATGTAATTAAATGAGATAATTGATCAAATCTAGTAAAAATAAATTGAAAATTTTTCATATGAAAATTTTTTTTTCTGATCTGCTCTTTATAAGAATTCAATTCATTTTAAGATGAAAATAACATCTCATTAGTATACAATACGTAGGAAAAACAAAGAAAAAAAAAACAGATAGATTGCGGTAGGAAATTTAATGATTAAACTTGCAAACAATACTTGTCAATAACTTTTAAATTCCAATTGTCAACAAACGAAACACTCTGAAAGACAAACATGTTGCATTGGTGGTAACTCAATTGTGAAGAAACCACCATGGTGCATCATGTGGATCAGCGACAAATTGAAGTATTACTTTTACCGTCAAAATTTCCAATTCTTTCTTCTTCCACACAACACGTAGCGTATTCCATGCGAGATAAATTATATTATTTAATGGATAGGAGAAATCTGAAATGGTTATCATTGGCTGTATTAGTTTTTCAAACGACACTTCTTGTCCTTATTTTACATTATTCACGTGTCCAAAAAGTTGATGGACCAAGGTAATGACTTAAGTTTTTTTGAAGTTTTGAGTTTTCATTAATGTATAAGTTACATTGATTTGTTTAAGTTATTTATTTGTATGATATATGATTTATATGGTAGTATTAATTAACTTATATGCTTATGTATATAAAATCTGATTAAGCAAAATTGATCATAGAGAATAATTAGTAGTATTTTGTTTATGCCTTTAAGAAGGTAGTTTTAATTTGTTTCTACCTTTAAGGTCTTTAAGAAGATATTAACAATTTTTAATTTCACTTAAAATTCAAGAACTTTCTGTTGGAATGATTTCGAAAATTCTCCTAAGACATGAATAATTAGAAGCATAAATATGTGATATAACTGTTCCATTTCAGATATTTGTCATCGACAGCTGTAGTTACCGCTGAAATAATCAAGTTGCTTACGTGTGTCGTCTTTATTGCACATCAGCACTGTATGTTTATTTTTAGTATACGTGAGTGAAAATGATGTAGGAATCAGTTGTTGTATTTGTTAAAAAATTAAATTATTTCAGAATAAAATTTCATTTTTTCGTCTATAGTTTTGGAGATGTTGCCTTCAAATAGAATGAAAATTTTCTCCGCTTCAAAATCATTTTTGTTTCGAATTTTTATAATACATTGAAGATAGCGAGAAATATATATATAGCACTGTGGATGCATTGTTTTTTTTAAATATATAATTCTTCTCTTTTTCTTTTTCTTAATATAAAAAGAAAACGACGAGTATTACGTTTAGCATGGAATTATGTTGGATTCTGGAACGAAATTTACACAGAATGTTACATCAAATCGAATGATGCTTTGAAAACGGCTATTCCAGCATTTTTATACGTTGTGCAAAATAATCTACTTTTTTTGTCTTTGTCGAAGCTTGATGCAGCTACTTATCAGGTAACTAGTTTGATAATTTAATAAATATTAAATTAAATTACCGGACTTTGTAATCTCAGTGCTTAACCGTTTTTTGTTTTATATCATAAAATGCTAGGCGTTACGTAATTTTATTAATCTTATAATTATTTACCAGTTCATTTATGTGGTGAGTATCATGTAATATAATAGCAGGAAGGATACATTCGGAGTTTGTTCAAACTTAAAACCTAACTAAAGTGAGAATTTTAATTTTTGCGGAAAAAAAAGTAGCATAGCATTTTTTTTAGAGATACGTGGATTCATTTGGATCATAATATTGTAAGGTATTATTTTGATCAGTGCTCAAATTAGCTATTATTAGGTAAACAGATAAGGGTTTAAAGTTATTAGGTAAATAAGTAAGGATTTAACTCTTTTTTACTTTTAATGTAAATTAAAATAAACATCTGACAGAGATTTTTCTGTGGATTGTTTTAATTTGCAATAAGATGATTTCTGTAGGATTTTTTTTGTTAAATTCACAATCAAGCAATTACTGATTTTCCAACAAATTAATTTTCAAGGTAACTTATCAATTGAAAATCCTCACAACAGCATTATTTTCCGTTGCATTACTGGGAAAAAAACTGGACAGTCAAAAATGGATATCATTGTTGCTGCTAACGATTGGAATAGCTTTAGTGCAAGTGTGTTTTTTAACGAAAAATTTTCATTATTTCAAATTTTATTCTAACTTTATCAAAACAAAAAATGGATTATTATTTTGATGTCGTATTATTGAATTTGAGGCATCGCTGATTGATATTTGCTTTAAAAAAAAAAAAAAATATATCACACATCTTCTTGGAAGGCAAACCAGAGAATTCGATTTTGAGCATAAGCTTTTCACTTTCTTTTTTAATCTTCTATTGTTAATCTGAATTTATATAAATAACCAATTTTAGCTACCCAAGGATTTGGGTAAAGTAACATCATTAACAGCAGAACTTTCCGTATCAACTGATTCGGAGAGAATGGTTGGATTGCTCGCTGTCATTGCAGCTTGTTTTTCGAGTGGTTTTGCGGGTGTTTATTTTGAAAAAGTCTTGAAAGGTTCTTCGGTTTCACTTTGGATGCGGAATTTGCAACTTGGTATACTTTTAAATTTGTTTTACGGCTTGGTTTAAAACTGTGCTTAAAGTTTTAGTTTAGTTTTAGACAAGACTTTTCAATAACTTAGACTGATATTAGCCTCTGAAAATCAACTTAATTTCAGTATGCAAAGTGTTATATGCCAACACTTTTCATAGTTCCAAAAAAAAAAAAAAAAATAAATAAATAAAACGGTTCATCTTTAGAAAAAGTTATTTTAAAAAATTTCGAACTTTTGTAGAGAAAAATTGTTTTTTTTTTTATGGTTTATGATCGAAATTTATCCTGTTATTTGTAAAATGTAACATATTTTCGATTTCTTTTTGCAGCATTCTTCAGCCTTTTTGGTGGTTTTTTAATGGTCTGGTTTTATGATTCTAAGCAGATAAACGAGTATGGTTTTTTTCAAGGATATAACAGTATAATTTGGATTGTTGTTTTACTTCAGGTTGTAACATTTTATACTTTTAGTTTTTATTTGTTGGAAAAAGTTTTTTGGTTTTTTGATATTTTCAGTTATAATTTTAATATATTGTTAATGCTGAGAATGTATGGAAGTTTTTATAATAAACTTTCTAATATTGAAATAAAAAGAATAGTCAGTGATTACTTTTTTGATACAAGGTATAACTAATTATTAACATGATGTATAATATTGGTGGAGTGAATATGTAATGAATATTTGTATCAGTTAGCATCATCCCTATTTAACTTGAGGATTCAATTATACATATATATGTATATAGCTCTAAATATTACTCAGAAATATTCGTCTTTGAACTTGCGTATGTAATATTTGATTTTACTGTGCGAATTAAGAATTGGTAGTGTCTCTCATTTACTGTGATGATATTCTGTAGTATAAGTATGTTGTAATATTAACACGAAATATGCATCAGGAAAATGCACTATCATTCCGTAATTTTTTTCTGAAATGGAGTCAGTAAGATTATAAAAATTGCATTGCAAATATTTTATTTTTTCTTTCAAGTTATTACAATGAAT